TAGATTCAATACATGGAGATGGAGAGTTTGTTTGTTTCATGCAGTCGTTATATTACCCACAAGCCTTACCAGCATTTAACATACATTGTAGCTGAATGCGTCTTGGATCCTGTTAACCTCTGACAATAATATCAATAGATAAGACATATTTTTAACACTGTAAAAATATAACTTCTATATCGTCTTTCGACATTTCTTCTCTTTAATTATCATACCCCATATGATTCATTTTTAGATTTTAAATTAGTCAGTCTAATATTTATATCAACATTTACAACAATTCATCTTGGTTTAAAGACATTTCTTTATAGGGTGCATTCAGTAATCTACAGAATGTGATTGGTCAACTCCAGATCAATCTACAAATCAGAGAACTGATACAGAAAAATCCACAGAATCTTTTGAAAGGCTTTATTTATAGAGACATTTGATTGGTATTAAGGAAAAACCCTATTGTGATAGCAAGGTTCAGAGTTAACTGCTCAGTTAAGTGCAAACTTATGACAGCTTATGAAACTGATACACGGCAAAGTTCTTGATTGAATGTTGTGGAATTGTTTATTAGAGTATTTATAATATGAAGAAGTCGGTTTTCGGTTCTTAAATTTTGAAATTACATTTTGTGGAACACTATTGAAAGGCAGAGTTTATAACAGTATTGTATAAAACTCAGCAAAATTGCACATTGTGGCAAAAGAAATCCTGTCAGATCTTTAAATTTGTAAATTTATGTTTTCATAATATCAAACATTAACTCATGTCATAGTTTCCAATATCTGTCTACTCGGTCTGTGCATAGAGTAGAGGGGGTTTAACAGTCACTCAACACAATAGTATAGTCAGGCGACCCTACTCCATGAGCACTCAATTCCATGAACACTTAATTACAGCAGTATCTAAAGTACACACTACATTCTAATCAGTAGTTGGACCATTCAAAATATGAAAAACACATCCCATTTGAAAAGTAGGAATTTGTAAATGGGTAAACACACCTTGTTTCATGCCAGGAATACTAGTAGCCAAATGTAGTTATATCTTTAACTGGTTATAAATGGGTCCTTTGATCTTCTAACAATTGTCTAACAATAATATTTTATATTTGTCAATACATATATAAGACATAGGAGGTTAGAAAGAATTAGAAACAAGTGATTTAAGAGAGAACTTGAAATGTCAGTTTTATTAAGTCCATGATAATTTGATAAATAACACTGCAATGGTGGAGGTAATAACATGTTCTTCTCAGCCACCATTTATCATCTGGTTAAGCCTGAAGACATGTGGAGAGATGAGTAAACTATATTTCCACCATAGCTAGAGAAAGGAAAATTAGATTAACATGAAGATGATTGTATATTGGTTATCAGACAGATCATAATGAAGAGGTGCTGCTTCATCAAACTACCACCAATGATTAATTTTTCTGTCTGTTTCAGATGAACATTCCATTTTTTCCCCAATCCAAATTATTAATTTTAATCTTTAAGACAGACATTGTACAGACATTGAACTGCTGTCAGAATTTTTGACAAAATCTATAGATTTCAACCTGAAGTTCAAAGGTTGGTTTAGTTGATAATATAATTGCAGATGTTTATTTTGGAATTGGCACTGTTTACAACACTTGGTTATTTTAATTTTGTATCTGTAGATATGAATAACGTTTTCACATTTTGTGATATTTGAAATCCAGGATCCTTAATGTATAAAAAGTAACTTGTACAATTTCTTTCTTAGTGCCAAAGATATTATGCCAAACAAGTAAGGGCTTGAACAGATATGAAAATGGAAGCATGGATGGTCTATGTATGTGTCCATTGATCTAACCCACAATTACTACAGCATCTCTACAGTGTAATACTTAAAATCTTTGCCTAATTTTTATGCGCAGCTGGACTTCATCAAAATATTTCAATTGATATATTTTATACATCAAATGAACAGCAGACACATTCCTAATTATTGCTGCCAAAATTTCAAACCAAATCTTGAAGTTGCATTATGCAAGAGTTAAATCTGCCCATTGCAGGTCTTTTGCTCGGGCTTCAAACATTTTCTGAATTATTATTTAGACATTTATTCACATGACAAGCCTGTAATCAACTGTCTAGAACATTATTGGATAGTTGAGATATTGAATGGATTAGAACAACCACACCATATAAAAAGTTAAAATGGATAATCAAGACTTTGTTTATTATCGTATCAATGGTATTTGACAATCTAGATTATTTATGTTATATCTAGTTGAAACTTCAAACATTCATAACATCACTCAAAATAAATTTTAACTAATTTCACTTAAATTTTCAATATTTATTATCTTTTTTTTGAACTATTATAGCATGAACGGCCAGCTCTTTACCTAAATCTTACATCATGTATCGTAAGAAGAAATTTATCAGCATTTAGGCAATGGTAGGCTGTTGTATTGTTTATAGTGCACAAACATGTAACCTTTATCCCATGTTAAACCCCATTTCTCTATCTCTCTGTGATAGGTTTACATTTAATGATGCATCAAAGCATATGCTCTTAAATTTTTAGCCTATATAAGTGTGGAAATGAAATGGGGTTTAACATCCTGCAGTTCTGCTCCTACTGGGCTAATGAAGACAGGCATGCGCCATGCAGTGTGCAAGAGTTCTTTTATGTGCATGCTAATGTGTACATTAGAAGGACCATACATTGTCCCTTGCCAGGCCCTCCATCCTACATGTACACCAATGGGAAGGGGTAGCCATGCCTGAAAATTCTGCTGCACTTTCTCTGCACAACACAGGGATTGAACACAGGCTGTTCTACTCATTGAGCCACTGTGGCTCCATATATTTGTTGGACATAATGCAAGGGTTGTGGCTACAGGACTACTTTTGATAGACTGTGGCTGGGTTCATGGAGGACGTAATGATAATATTGATTGCATACAGCAGTATTTAAAAGATGGAAAACAAATGTTGGTTGGATCCTTGAACGATGTCATCCTCCACACATAGCCTTGCCGTTTTTTCTATTAGTAATCTAACACCATTCATTAAGAGGACTATGTGTGAAGGAATATTACATTGCTTGTTAAAGGATGTACCATTTGCTCTTTTCCTTTAAAAGAACAAATATTTCAACATTTTCATTAATTGGATTGTGTAATAAGCAAACAAATCGTATTAAAAATCTTTAATACATTAAAAGGATTTAACACACCAGTTAATACATTGTATTGTTGTATTGAGATCTTTCATAAGAACACATGTTAATAAATATAAAATAATTATATATTAAATGTATGATTGTTTACTAATTGTTCTTGGTTTCTTTGAACCTATTTTATTTCAAAATGTCAATACAGATAATCTATCTCTTCACACATAGTGATGACAAGATATGGTAACATTGATGTTACTGAAAATAGAATAAAATAGAACAGGGACCAATTGACTAGACAATTAGCAAAGAATTACCTAGTAGAATTCTTCTGATTGGTGAATGCAACTGAAACCTAAAGTAGATTTCTTGCATATGGTGCAAGGAATTATACTAGATAGAATGTTGGACAATGTCCAATAAAGATTATATTTTGATGTCATTTTCTTGCATTTACTATAAAATTTTGAATGGTGGTTTTGGTTTTAGATACACAAACGGAAAGGAGTGTTTGGAATAGTTTAAGTAATTTTAGATGATGGCATACCGCATAAGGCTGAACATGGTGCTTTGACATTGTCATGCGAGTGCTGTTTAGTAGACAATGTCACTCCATCCAAGAACCATGATCAATTTTATCAGAATTCCTGTATGGGAAATGTGGAAATTATAAGAAATAATTCATCACTTTTTCTTAATTGTTTGAATCATAATGCAATCCTGGTATCTGGGTGTTGGTTGTAGTTTAAATATGTACTTGGTGCTGCTTTGGAAATATTCTCCCTTTTATTGATTATTTTGTTTAATTATTTCATACTATAGCAGACAGTAGAATTCAATCAATGAAGCGTGATGTATATTAATACACTGCGAATACTTGTTGTTTTTGTATGGAAATGTGGCCATTCAAACGGGGAAAAAAAGATTATAACCCATTTGAAAAGGTTACGATTTCAATTCATCAATTTAGCGAGTATCAATTGGATCTTTTCTGTCTACGTACAGAATGATTTATCCTTGCTGCTTGTAACTTTAATCCTTGCTGTCAGCCTCCATTTTACACACTGGAGAAAAAGAGAAAATAAAAAGGGACGCCACCATGACTTTGTTTAAATGAAAAGTGTCTGTACCAAATTAGATTTATTTCCATACTAATTGTGTTATTGGGGTTAGCTGAACCTTATGTGGATTTTGATTGGGTTTTATTACCCTCCTGATTTCTAAGTGTACTGCCAAGGTTAAGATATAAATGGTTTTATGGGCTGTCAAAGTTCAGATAGCCTGCAATTCTCCTTTGCATGTAGAATTATTTTAATCTTGGTATAGCTATACTTGATTAAAGAAGACTGTTTGTTGTTTTTGCTGGCTAAATGTTTATTGGAAATAGCTTGAATTGATTTAATTATTTTTTGGACATTATTAAGTTTAAATGGTATAAATGTCTTCTATTACTTCGAGTAGTCACAGACTTGATGATTCTTATTCCAAGTTTAAATGGTGCTCTGCAGCCTTTGAGTCATTATTCTCAAGACTCTTTTGTGCAGAAGGGTGATTAGGTCATTTAACATACGGTATACCCAATTAAATGATGCACTCAAATTTTGAAAACATGCCTTAAATTTTATGTTTATTTTTATACGTCCACAATGAAATGGTGTCATTTTTGTCACCCTGTTCCTGTCCGTCCACCCGTCATTCACAAGAAATGGCTCATGTTATCACCTGATTGCAGTATAGAATATAATTTCTGTAGACAGTGTTTTGTATCTCAAAAATGACTTGCGTTAATGATCCATTACAACTTTAAGATGAAATTGGTATTTCTGAACAACTCTTTATATTATGTCTATTTTCAGGCAGCAAGTTTCTTTGTAGTGAATTGGTGGCACCAGTTAAAAATGCTCATGGAGAAATTATCATGTTTATTATTAATTATGAAGATATTACAGATCAGGCACCTTCAGTTGTTAATAAAACTGAAATCAAAAATCTTAAAAACAGTAAGTGGATATGTTTATTAAAATGATTGACTTCTCTTTCAAACTAGTTATAACCCTAGTCATGCCAGTATGTCAGAATATAACCCTAGTCATGCCAGTATGTCAGAATATAAGGTCCATAATGTGTTTTAAGACCATATACAAACTGTTCTGTTTCACAGAACTTCTCATACTGTTGCCATATAACAGTAAATGCAGGAGCACTATACATAATGATTAACTAGTACCAAGTAAGGAAAACGTGCCAACAAGACAAAACAATTTGACATTGTAAGCCATATAGATACTATCAAATCAAATGAATGGATCCATGGGTCATAGGTATAGTACTACACTAAAAACTATATGGAAGATAAAGACGAGAGTACCATCATCGAAGCCCTGTATTAGTACCAGGGTGGCAATGACACGGGCTTGATTTATAATTTGCTAGTGCAAAAAACAAAGTTCCAAACAAATTGGCAGTAATTCTCAAATGTAAAACCTTTAAAAAGAGGAAGTATTTTCCAAATATTGTAGTGTTTTAGTGATCAGATATTATTTGAAGACAAAAATCTTAGAATGTTGAAGGTTTAATTGTCATATTTTGATTATGTAGAATTCATATATCCTGATGAGCTCGAAATTAAAAACACTACTGACGGTGACAATTACGCTTCCTACTTGGATTTGCGTCTCGATTTTGACAATTGCCATAAACTTAGTGTTAAATTGTACGATAAACGTGATGACTTTGACTTTCCGATTGTTAACTTTCCATTTATTAGTAGTAACATTCCAATATCACCAGCTTATGGAGTGTTTGTGTCTCAACTAATTCGTTACGCGAGAGCTTGTTCATTTTATTCTGATTTTTTAAGTAGATCGAGGCATTTGTCATCTAAGCTTCAACTACAGGGATACTTGCGAACTAAACTTATTAAAACCTTTAAAAAGTTTTATGGCCGTCATATTGACTTGATTGGTAATTATAACATGTCTCTCTCGGCTATTATTCTAGATATATTTAATTGACGCGTATACTATCTCCCTGATAATGTCTGTCTACTACATCGTTAACACGGTTCATCACGTGCATTTTGCATACTGATAGTTCATTGGCCAATCACGCTATTTTACGGAGATTTCGCCTAATAGTTTTGGATGCAGCTATGGCGGGTGTGGCGCCAGGCAGGGTAAGCTTACTCTTCCGGACACCTGTTACCACTGTTTGTCGTGTATTTTGTACACGGTGAACAGTCCATATGCTGATTACACTGTTTTGCCTTATTACACTATTTTGCCTATACCGTTTTTTTAGGACTTCAAATTTTGTCTAATGGTTTGGATTGTTCGTACTTGGTTTTATTTTATTAGTACACTATATCTGCATTTGGTTCATAAATCTATGTGCAGCTAGACGAGGGAGATTGTTATAGGTGTAGTCATAGATACTACCGATAATAAAAAATGAATAGTCGATTCATATGTATACATCTACTTTATTTACGGAGGTATTTTGCATGTTGGCTTGTCGAATATGGCACTAGCTCATTAACCATTACTGGTTTTGCCTCAGAAAGTTATTCATGATTTTCCTGACGAGAGGACTAATTTGGTACCAAATAAAAAGGTCCCACGTATTTTGCATTCCAGTGATCAATACAATTGAGTAAGATGCATGTGATTTGTCCATCATATTATAATGTAAACTTATTGACAGGCATCAGTTTTAACTGACACATTGATTGTAGGTCACATAAAAAATCACTGATCATCCAAAACATGTATATTAGTCTGAAAATATCTTTCTGGGGCCAAAAGAGACCAATTTTTAGTCAATTTGGCAGACAATTTGCCTATTAGAGTAGCATTACAGACCTAAGTTATTAGGTTGGTTACAGAGATCATTAAGACATTTGTTCAATAGTTATATCCAATCTTTTAATAGTCTTCGTTACTATGTTTTATAATCATCAATCTGTCTGATTGGTCGTGTTCTTATTTATATACATGTTCACAATAAACTACATGATACTGTAAGTTATGGTTGACTCATGTTGTTTGCCTCTATTTTGGGTCACCAATTTTACGTTCGAATATACTAAGACATTATTTGAATGACATTTAAATATTGATTCAGGGTAATTATTTGAATGACATTTAAATATTGATTCAGGGTAATTATTTGAATTCTATTAAATATCGATTCGGTTTAAATTATTTGCGGGGATCACGGTGGCCAAGTGGGCAAGACGCTGGCTCGCTAGCCTGGAGGTTGGGTGTTCGATCCCTGCATTGGCCGAGGAAGTTCATCCAGATTTTCCTCCTTGTCAGTGATGCAGGAAGGAGGGCATGACAAGGACAGCTGTCTAGTTGATCTAATGGTACGAAAAACCGAGGTCCTGTGTACGCATTGGCATGCACATAAAAGATCCCTTGACAGTTGGAATTCAATATAAGAGTAGACTGTTTTGGTGCATTTTCTAGAAACTATAAATCTTTCAAATCAATATATTTTCCATTATCTGTTTATTTTGGGATATTAGTTGATTTTATTGAATTAATATTAGTAAATATCTCAAAGGGCACAGGTAAAATACCAAATTCCATTAGTTTTAACTGACATCAAATAAAAAATACTAAAAAGTCAATGGAAATATCCTTGAAAAACTATTTGAGTTCAAATATTTGAGCTCGGAGTATAACCAACTGTACATGTATTTTATCATGTACTTTATGTTATATAGTAAAACTGTGAAGGTTTTATTTTAGATACTAGACAATAAAGGATAACTACACAAAAACAACACAACATAACAAATGTCAGATACAGCATGTCATCGTTAGAAAAATACATGTAATTGATACTCTGGTAGTGAAAATAATAAATCATGTATAGAATTGAAAACTAAAAACCAGAAATTTATCCAATGTCTTTTTTTTTTGTTTCAACATAGGCCTACATATGGCACAGATATTTACACTTTGTTACGCACAGGCACTAGCATAAGTATAAAATTTAAAAGTATTTAAGATATTGATATCTTGGAACCCAGATGGAAATTGCTGGTATTGAGTGTCTTTAAAAATATTACTTAGAATGGATGGATATTCATTGGTCGTTGTCGTCAGACATATGTTCTTAGAAATTTGACTTGTGAACAAATCTAGTCCTAGTGAAAATATAACCCTAGTCAGACTTAGTTCTAGTGAAGATATACCATAGTCCAGTTTTCACCTAGTGGAAATATAACCCTATTCACACTTAAAAATTACTTAAAAGAAAATACAGGTTATTAACTATAGTTTTGATTCATTTTTCAAGTCATACAGTGAAAATGTCAGTTTTTGTCACCACTGTCCGTCATTACTAGCAATGTTATAATTGCTAGAAATAATAATTCATAAACAAATATCTATTAATTGAATCAAGGATTATTTTGAGTTTGATTTTGTAGGTGAAATGAAATGGGGTTTAACATCCTACTGTTCTGCTCCTATACTGGGCTAATGAAGACGGGCATTCGCCATACAATGTACTATGAGGGAAATTTTGCCCAGGCAGCGGCACTATCGCCTACTCTTATATTGAATTCCAACTGCTAAGGGATCTTTTACGTGCATTCCAATGCATACACGGGACCTCGGTTTTTCGTCTCATCCGAAGAACTAGACAGCTGTCCTTGTCATGCCCTCCTTCCTGCATCACTGACAAGGGGGAAAATCTGGATAAGGCGAAGCCACGTCGGAAAATCCAAATGAACTTTCTCGGCCAATGCAGGGATCGAACACCCGACCTCCAGGCTAGTGAGCCAGCGTCTTAACCACCTAGCCACCATAGCTCCCCTTCATGGCACTACCCATTACCCATTACCTCGTGGCAGAAAAATAAGGTTGTCTTTTTAATTTCTATGAAAAATGTTTTTTTATTTATATAGTCATAAAGTAATGGGTAATGGTAATTAATTACTTTCAATGTAATGGGTAATGGTGATTAATTACATTGCTAAAAAGAGAAAGTAATTGTAATGATTACATTTAAATGGTAATGGTAATGTAATTAATTACATTGGCAATGTAATGGCCCCAGCCCTGCTTAGTCCTAGTGGAGATATACCATAGTCCAACTTACATTAATCCTAGTAGAAATATAGCTTTAGTCAGACTTAGTCCCAGTGGCGATATAACACTAGTCAGACTTAGTCCTAGTGGAGATATAGCGTAGTCCAACTTAGTCCTAGTGGAAATATAATCCTAGTCAACACTTGGGTTTTCTTAACTTCTTGTTGCTCTTCATTTAGACTATGTTGTGTTTATTTTTTACCTCCAAGCTACAAAAATTTAACAGTTGTGTTTGTATACAGGTGTAAAACATTATAGCATGACTTATCAAGACTTAAACTGTTTGATTTTAGATCGCCACAGAAGTTTTAAGCTGCGACTTCCCTCCATACGACGTGACATACGCAGGAAAGCAAAAGCCATCCAACAGGCACCTGATCCTGAAAATCCACCCATTCCGGAAGAAGCAGTTCCGCTTAATCAGTTTGGTAAAGAAGATGTGGAACAGGGTCAACAGTCACCACTCTCTAGTCGCAAATCCCTACAAGACAGCGAACTGGTGTTAGAAAATGCTGACGAAAGAGGTAGCCAATCAACATTGAGTCGAGATGAAATTGAAGGTATTGATGGCCCTATGCGAGATCAGGAAGAAAATGAAAGAACCAGTAATGAAAGGGGTTGGTATTTTTTTTGATTCATATTCTTTAAAAATGTTTCTTGTTGATATTATGTATTTCTTCATGTAATATGTGCTGTGATTTTGTTGTTCTCCACAGAGTAAAAAGCATATGTTTCTGTGTGTCCAACTCTTTCAATTTTCTGGTAAAGCGTGGCAAGGTTTTGAATTCTTCAGCCATTTTATGGAGCTGAACCATGGGGGTCATTATAAATGACATCTTGTCAGAATGCTCTGCTGGTTTTTTTTGTGCTTAAAATATGCATTCTGTAATGCTTGATAAAGAAAAGTGTAAATACAGAATTGTGTGCATTTGTAACTCTGTGTGTCTGTATGTATGTGTGGGTTGTGAAATATTATTGAAGTAGACTATTTCCTTAAAGAACTCGCCATAAGTCATTAATCAAGCTACAAGAAGAAAATTGAATTGAGTTGCTCATAAATATTAAAGAACTCTATTTAAATTTAGGACAGTACTCAACCTAAAGGATATCATTATCTATTAGTATATTTAATTTCTAATAAAATTTTGACAGTTACGGACCGTCGCAAAATTTTGACACTTGCATCCAAAATAATAACCCTTGGATAGATCTCATTAACCCATCTACTCACCTGCCTATTCATGCCAATGGAGTAAGAACCTGTTGACATATTTCCAAAATCAGGAATTTTAAATCATAAATAAATGAACATTTTACTGCGAAAATGGTCCGATACCAACTCCATTGACTCGTTACCAGCACTGGCTGAATTTGGAGACTCTGAAACGTGAGATCAAAGTTCACAGAGGGCAGTTAACAAACACAGATGGATTTTGATGCTTGTTTAAGACTAAATTACCAACATTTAATTTATCATTTTCTATGCGCAGTGTCTTTCAACCCACCCACCCGGTTCAGCAGGTTATTCGTTTATGCCTTATGCAGTTGATATACCTTACCGGTGTCCCTAGTCAAAATAAAATAACATAAATTTTTTGAATACCTTCAAGTACTGGAATATAAAAATGCAGAGATCTACACATCATCCTTGTTAATTGATAATTCGATTTGTACCCTGTTGCTAACAACGCTATCAAGTCACAGATTTTTTCCTGATGCAACAATATTTGTTTCGCATAATAAAGTATGATGCTACTGAATTAATTTGTCAGATTTTCTTGCCATTTCTCAGAAGGATTGGCTGGCCTTAACTTTAAAACTATAGACTTTAAAATCTTAATTGCTTAATGTTCACAGTCATTTGCTAAATACCTGTCATTAGCTACATTTTCATGTCATTTATTTGTTTGCTTTTAATATTGTGATAATGGAATAGTTTGTCTGTTTATGTTATCTTTGAATTGTTTTAAAATGATTATTTTTTCTGCTATATTCTTGTTGATTGTTATTTCGCTTTCTTTGTAAAATATGTTCATCAAGTCATAAATACCTTTAAAATAGAAGTTAAAAAAATATAGCTTTTTCTATAATTTGAGTTCAAAACTTTTTTAAAGATAGTGATAATTACCTTCAAGTCAACAATTCACGTCTGTGATCAAATTGGCAATCATTTTAAATTCAGTTTTAGGCCTTCCATTTTATATGGTGTCATGTTATAGATTTTTCCTGATTATATAGTTGTATTCTTTTAATTATTAATTGTAATATTTCTTTCTTTTGTTTTAAAATGATCTAGTTCTTGGAATATAAACCATTTACCTATATGTCCCAAATGTGTGATAGGGGAGACAACTCTATTTTCTTGCTTCACACAGTGAGCTACTTGTTACTTGTATGAAAATATCTTTTTGAAAAATTGCTTGCTTCTTTTTTAAATTCCTTTTATGTCTGTCGAAATTTATATTTTGTTGATTTACAGAATAATATTTAGTAATATAATATTCATGTTCCATGTGAAAAACTGTGTCAAAGTGTTTAATGCCAATTTACAAAATCAAATAGTTAAACATACATTATGCAAGAGCTAAATCTGCCTGCCTGTTTTCTAAATTATTAATTAGACATTAATTATCCAGGCCATAATCAACTCTTGATGGCATCGGATTTCTCCGATATTAAATAGATTAGAACAGTTCAGCCATATTTTGATTTAAGCTAAAATTGGAGGAGCGAGACTTAGCTTCGAAAAACCAGTACGGTGGTTGAAATTATTGCACACGTCTTGCCAAACCTTCAAAGGCTAATATCTTCGCTCACAATAGAGTAATTTCGAACTATTATAGCAAGAATGGCTAGCTCTTTATCTAAATCTTACATAATGTATCTTTAAGTGCACCAGTTAGTTTTTCTAGTGAGTACAAAAATACCACAACTTTTATAATTGTTGAAATATGTTCTTGGTAAAGAACAAATTTAAATTATCATTAAAGTTGGTGAAAATCCAGTAAATACATTGGCTGTTCATGAATTGTGTTGCGATTGAAGCTGTCTCCCAAACCTACTGAATATTAGCTTTTTTTGTTGATATTGTTGAAGCCGTGATTTAATGTGATTCTTTTGCAGAAATTAAGGCATACAAATGGATTGGAAAACATTTAAAATATTTTCCAAGAACTAGAATAATATATTATTTTCCTTTTTTATTGGCGTAAAATTGAGTAGTTGTAGTTGTTATGCATTATGTTGTATATTCTTCATTACAGCCTGTTTGTATTTAGCTAATGGTCGACCCAGGGCACATACCCTTGATTCATGTGAGTAAAGCTTAGGGTCGGACAACTTGCCGTGATTGATACTTTTTTATTTTGCATTGTATTTGATATTTTCCACTGAAAATGCCTCCCCTTCTATTTTCATTCTCAGAGTACAGAGACATTGCCTTTTCAGAATGGGTTAATAATCTTCAGAAATTGATAGGCCCTACTCTGTATAATGTCCCAGATAAACTTTGTGGGTATTTTTTGTATTCTAAAACTGACAAAATATAAAATATTACATGGTTTTTTAATAGCCCCACATTGAAATGTGGATGTATATTGTTGTCACTCCAGTTCGTCCAAAGTCTGTTGGTCTATCTGTCATCCACAATTTCTTGTGAACACTTTAGACAGTACATGTTATTTAAATTCATGAGAGTGGGTTGGATGGCGTAATGGTTAGCGCGCATTGTATCATAAGGTCTGTCATTGAGTCAGCTGACATGGTTTTGATTCTCTGGTTGTACGTGACAAGAAGTAGGATTGCCTGTCCAACCTTGTGTGTTTTCTCCGAAATGTCCTAGTTTGTGTTGAGTGGACGTTAAACCCCATTTGTCTAATTTTGTAAACGTGCTAATGATAAACGTGATCTATCTGTTTAAAATTTGTGCATTGTTTATTTTAATAAAATGAAGAATCTTATTGTATTTCTAGAGATATTTGCGTGGTGAACACTCTAGCAATCTACTTTAGATTTATGTTGTATTGATTTTTGCGATAAGCAACCATTACAAGGACTTCAGATTTTTATACGCCCACATTTTCATGTGGACGTATATTGTCGGCGCCCCTATTTGTCCGGACGTCCGTCCACAATTTGTTTGTGGACTCTCTACAGGTCACAATTCTTGTCCGATTTTGAAGAAACTTGAAATATAGCTTTATCCCAAAAATATCTCGGCTGCTTTCGATATTGGCATGTATTGGATCGAAACTTCATGGATTATGGCCCCTGTTTGTACGAAAAATCACGTTTTTAGCTTCTGGACCCTATAGAGGTCACAATTTTTATCCGATTTTGTTGAAACTTGAAATGTAGGTTTATAACCCAAAGATCTCAGTTCCTTTCGATATATTCGCACACATCGGACTGTACCTTCCTGAATTATGGCCCCTGTTTGTACGAAAAATCGTATTTTTAGCTTGTGGACCCTATAGAAGTCATAATTTTTATCCGATTTAAAAAAACGTATTATTATTTCCCCGTTACATCCTAAAAACAGCTGAGGTCGAATTTCATGAAAATCGGCCCAAAATTGACAGATAAAATGGCCGCCGTTCGTTCTCAAATAGCGTAACAATATCGTATATCAAGGTTGTGGACCCTAAAGAGGTCACAATTTTTATCCAATTTTGTTGAAACTTGAAATATAAGTTTATAACCCAAAGATCTTGGATCCTTTTGATATTCGCGCATATCGGCCCGTAACTTCCTGAATTATGGCCCCTGATTGTACGAAAAATCGCATTTTTAACTTGTGGACCCTATAGAGGTCATAATTTTTATCCGATATAAAAAAACGTATTATTATATCACCGTTACACCCTAAGGATGACTGAGTTCGAATTTCATGAATATCGTCCCAAAATTGACAGACAAAATGCCTGCCGTTAGTTCTCAAATAGCGTAAAAATATGGTATATCAAGGTTGTGGACCCTATAGAGGTCACAATTTTTATCCGATTTTGTTGAAACTTGAAATGTAAGTTTGTAACCCAAAGATCTCGGTTCCTTTCGATATTCGCGCATATCGGACCTTAACTTCCTGAATTATGGCCCTTGATTGTACGAAAAAATCACTTCTTTTTTTGAGCTTGTTCTCTGTCCATCTCTTGCAAAATGTGGGCGTATCTTGCATGGCAACCGCTTGTTAATTATAGAGTTATTTCCCTTTATTGCTCTAGAATCTTGTCAACCGCCAATGATGTTATACGGTGAAGATTTTTGGCTACCAACCACAGCGTAACTACCTTTAAAGACTACTCAAACCACTTAACTGCTGTGAGCACATGAAATTTTTTTTTTGCCTGGCAATCTATCATTAATAAAATTGGCCGCTATTCTTAGTGCAATAATCAAAAACATGATACACCCAAACAAGAAAAGGTTATGTCTCAGTCAGGTAAAATGAAAATAGATATTCCTCTACACAACCCGCTTCTACCTTACTATTATTCTTCTCTATCTATTAATACAGAATAAACCACTCACAAGATTTCAGTAACCTCAAGTTTGAACATCTCATACATCCTGTACACCTTAAATTTACGAAGGGAAGGTTTGGGGGGGGGGGGAGCAGTGTGACATTTACATTACCTTGAGATCATTTCAAATGAGATATGATGTAGTGTTGAGTAGTTCTAATAATTCAGTATTGTTTATATTTTCTCTTTAAAATCTTAATTTCAACCACTGTGATTGGTATAAAACATTATTGCCAAAGATGGCTAGATGCAAGGTCAGGTCTGGTCATTTTAACGCAATCTGTTTCTAGATTATAAACTGGAAAATTTAACGTTAACTATTAAATGTATTTTCAAGAAGCACAATGGCTTGAGGTACGGTACAGGAAATGATTTGTTTAATTCAAGATTAAGTAATTGCATTTTGTTCTTAAAAGTCATGTTGTCGGATCTTTTAAGTGGTTATACTGTAAGTTCTTCCTGGCTATGGATAAATGTTGCAATAATATTCAAGTCATAAACATCCAGGAATATTAAATTTGAGTCCTTTTAAACAATAATTACCTCATTTGATTTATTCAGATTATTCGATTCTCTGTCTTCTTTCTAAGGTGTAATTCTATTTCAGCATTCATCGTCAGATTTCTTTGATCTGTTTATGACAACCTCCCCCACCCTTTGTCCTATGGTTTGAAGCCTGTTTTTCATATAAGCATGTTTGTGAATCTTGTTCTTTAGTTTGCTATTTATGTTGTGTTATTTTTTTTTATCAAAGAAATGCATTTCCTTTTCAGCTTTTCATTGGATATCCATCTCATTCTGCTTAAAAAAAAATCTATGATGGTGCTAACTGACAGCATGATAGCTATTCCATATAAGCATGCAACATTGGCCTACCTCAAATATGAAACTAAAATTTAGAACATGGCATTTAATGTTACAATAAAAAATATCGAGCACAATTTTGTAGACATCTTCTTAATAGAAATTTCACAACTTTAGAATCTGAACTGAAAGAAGTTATTTATTATATTCACATTCTCATGGAAGATTTATTATCCAAACCACTCCTCACTTTGATCTCCCTTAACTGTTTTTAATCATTTTTATACTTTTATGAGCAATACACATTTCCTTATAAATAAATATTTGTACCATATTTCATTAAACAGAGTTTCTTCCCTTGAACTGTAGCTTTTTGTATTTCTGCTGCAGTGGCTATTGAAAATGATGATATTTTGTTTTATTTGAATATCTGATTATTTTATGAATCATAAAGAGTTGTTGAAGCATTGCTTGTTCAATTAAACAACAGATATTTTTTTGATAATTCAAATTTTTGTCCAGTTTTCAGAAAATATCGATCTAAGTCAGGTAATTATTGAGAATGGACTTCGATGAAAACCCCTTTATATTTTTTCTTACATTTTTTGGGAAATTTTGTTGAACCTTAACATCAATTTGCATGACATAATTACCTGGGTCACAATTTTTTTTTTCATCAAAAAGACATGTATGTGCAAAACTAAAATATTTGATATTTATGTATTCATTTAAAGACACTCATTTTAAAATTTTTACTAGATTTCATTGATCACGATTATTGATTTTTTTTATATTAATTTGTATTTAAACTTTGCTGTGATATTTCTTTCAATTTCTGATGCAGTGAATTTTTTTTTTAAAAATATTTAAAAAAAACTAATGCAGTGATTTTGTATCAATTTTGTTTGCTGTTTTTGAAATATTTAGCAAATACAAACCTTATTTAAAAAAATAGAGGCTTAAAGATATGGTCCTTCTAAGCTCAAAATTATTTTTGTCTGAAAAGAACGATATTTCTAAATAGAGGCTTAAAGATATGGTCCTTCTAACCTCAAAATTACTTTTGTCTGAAAAGAACGATATTTCTAATGATCAAGAAAAAAGAATTATACAAACAAATTGCTTAAAGGGGGGGGGGGGGGGAGGGGAGGGAAATATGTAAGATTAGATAAAGAGCTGACAGTTCTTGCTATAATAGTTAAAAAATACATAATGAAAAGGGAATATTTTGAAAATTGAAGTCAAATTACTTTACTGAGTTAAGGCCAATACAGTTAGAGTGCAGCCTTGATTGTCATTGCTATCATTTTTACGATAATAAACAAAGTCTCAATTATCAATTTTTACGTTAAATCATCAACCGCAAATTGTATTTCAATCTATAGAAAATGTAGAGTATCTGATGGCATCGAGAGTTGATTAATTTCTTGGTAAGTTAATTAATGTTTAATTAATAATTTATATAACATTCAAGACATAAAGAAAGACCTGTAATAGGCAGATTTAGCTCTTGCATAATGCCTGTTTAATGTAAGTTATTTATTACAAACTGTCAACCACTATTTGGTCATATAGTATCAGTCTGTGACCTGTGTAAAAATTCAAATAATTGAATAATGTAAGCACCTTAGAATAATAATTTATTACAAACTGTCAGATACTATATAGCCATTTGCTAGTGTCGCATTGTAACTGCACTCCTGTTAGAGAAATCATCCATAACAACAAATATATTTTATTTTTGAATCACAATCAGTGGTTTCGTATTTAACCCACCAGGTATAAGCTAAGTAAATAGGTTATCTCCTAAAACTTAGACAGCCAAATCTCAGACAGAGTAGGGGATTAATTAACACAATCACTATAGCTATAATGGAACAATCCTAATAAGTATACTCTACTCAGTTAACCACGGATGTGTTCATATGAAAATCTTTGAAGTTATGCCTGTGCTCATTGACAATCTCCAATGTTAGTTTCTGAATTATTTTCTTTAACTCTTTAATATTCGCTTTTATTGTCGCAATGTGAGCGGACATTTCCATCACCCAGAAGATGCCAAAGTTTGCATGAATCCGCACAACCGCATGTATAGTGTGTTCCTGAAGCAACGGCCGCAAGTTTTAGATAATATGTACGGTGATAAAGCGGGATCAAACCTTCTATTGAAGATGCCTGAATAGACAGCTACATGTACCACACATCCATCCCGACATCTTCCGATTGGTTGAAGTGTATGGAATATTCAGACAGATTCAAGTTAGCCCAACTTTATTTTGGAGCTGCTCCTCCAAGACGAAAGAGAATCTATATATAAAGAAATCACAAGACAGGGCCACAAGACGTCATTTCATTTCCTTGGTGTAGTAATAAGCATCAATTGTGTCATGATAGTGAGAAAGAATGTACAAATATACACAAAGTGTGAATAGTTAATATATCCATACCACATGTGACTGTGTCATGAAAAGTACAAATATATTTATATTTATCAACAATATCAATAAATGATATATCTTGTATTTCTGTCGGACTGTTCTATTATTTAGCAAACCATAAATATTGTTGTTTTAACGTTTCTAAGATATGGCTAAGGGGTGATGATTTTCCGTTTCAGAAAATGGCAAATTCCGTTTTAAGTATTTTGAATTCCGTTATTTTCCGTTTGAACTGACCATATTCTGTTTTTCCCAGATAAAATGCTATTTTATGAATAAATGAATAAAACATCGTAAAATGCGTTTTATTACAAAACTGGTTATTTTAATCCAATGATAACAAATATTAAATAGTGAATGACTTTTAATGTTCAATGACTGGTTATTTTTCAAACCGGTTTACTGAATTAAATAACGGAAAACTACACCTTGTGAGCTTGTTTCATCTTTTCAGCAGACAAAGCCATTTTTGTCGACTGCTGGTTTTAGTTGCGATTTATCCAGACAAATTCTGTAGTTACTACTGTTTCTACGGGAATAAAGGCTGGATTCACAAGACAATGGCATATTTGCGATGTCACATGGTGAAACATGAGCCCGGCAGTAAAAAAGAAGTAAATGAAACAATTTTAACTTTTATAAAATAACGAAAGTTTTTCAGACATATAGATATACATTACAGTATTAAATTCAACTACAGAGTAATTGTATTATTAGGGATAAATTGAAGACAGGTTTTCGTTTCGAGTACATTTATGATTCCAAAATGATGAAATGAAAGTAGCTTTTACTAAATACTAAAATAGTAATAAAACCATGCAATATTGTTCAATATTTTCGATTTTTATGAATAAAAAGATGAAATACTTGGATAAATACAAAATTGTTTTGTGTTTTTGTTTAATATCAGCAAATATTGGCTTTTCCGTCTTTTTCTTTTTGAGATGCCAAATTCCGTTTTGAGTGCCGAATCCTGCGATTTCATCATCACCCCGAAGTTTTGGGAAGATACTAATAAATCTTGTTGGCTGAAAATTTCAACTAATTGGGTGGTCTAGCAGAGGTTATATAGAAGAGGAAATCTGGTTAATTAACAGCTAATTTTGTTTTGGGAGGACACCAGTAAATCTCGTAGGCTGAAAATTTCAACTAATCAGGTGGTCTAGCAGAGGTGATACAGAAGAGAAAATCTGCTTAACAGCTAATTTTATAGACTACTAGTAATACATGTAGCTAGGTGTAGGTAACTACCAGACCAGTGCAGATGATAAACAATGTTTATGAATTCACACCAACACTTAAATGAATAATTGCAGTCCATATGGTCTTTAGAAAGCAAAAAAAGTACAAAAACATTATGTGCAGCCAGTAGCAGACTGTCTCTTAGGTTAGGCCACGGTTCATTTATTGTTTTAGGACATTATTTTTTATCCAATCCAGCAGCCCATTTTATTTTACCCAATGAACTTTAGTTCGGCAATACTATATACCGGAAAACACCCGGAAAACAACCGGAAAACATCATTTTATACTGAATACCGGAAAACACCGGAAAAACACTAAATACCGGAAAACATCCTAAATACCGGAAAACACCCTAAATAGGTAACCCTCTGTGTGCATTTTTGGACCAAGTGAGCGCCGATGAAGGTAGGTCAAGGTCATTATGATGTTCGTTTTACAAATACCCCCCCCCCCCCCCCCAAAAAAAAAAAAAATTCCAATTTTTTTTTTCTCCAAATTTTTTTTTACGGAAAAAAATTTTCTGTCACAATACAACAAATTCCAATTTTTCCGAAAAATTGGTTTTACAAAAAAACATTCGGTACAAAATAATTTTACAGAGAACAAAACACGAAAAAAATTTAGAATTTTTTTTGAGAGAAATTTTGGAGAAGAAATTGTTAAAAAAAAATCTGAAAAGAAATTTTTCTTTACCCGTAGGCAATCGCTTGCTTGTATGTTAATGAACTTATTTCATCAGCGCTGACCTGGTCCAAAACCACATGAGGACCAAACTCCGGGTTACTAAATAGCGACCGGAAAACTTAGAAGATTAAACTGTGCCCAGATTTTTTTAGAGAGCGCGCTGCACCGCTCCGGGAGGGATCATCGTCAGAGTAGGACGGGGGTGGAATTGTCCAGTCACGTGACGAACATAGATCTCTCGTTCCTCAAGCCATATTATTTCTACAGTCATTGTCATTAATCACAAATTACGGGATGATATACGAAAATGCAGGTTTACTTTGAAATAGTGCAAATGATACTTTTCCATCTACAATCTTCAGATCAAAGGATGCAAGGCAAGTTCTTACACAGTGCAGTATAATTTGTGCAACAGAAGACATCTCGAATATCGATTGTCGGAAAAAACATTTTTTCCGAATATGCATTCGGTGTAAGTCTTCAGCCACCAGGAAGTGGTTAACATAGTAATGTTTTATTACGATAGTAGTACATAAAACAAATTGGTTGCCGGAGGTTCTCTGGGAGAAAGTAGCCTCGTCGGCTAGATTCCTCTATTTCACAAACAAAAACAACAATTGCTTCCTTGAAAATTTATCGATCAACCCTTTTTACAGACGTCCAGCTTACCACTTCCCGTCAATGTAGTAAGATAGAATATGTACTTTTCTCATGGACAATTGGGCGAAAGTTGGGGTTTTCTCAAGGAAAACTGGTCAACAAGTTGGGGAAAAAGCTCGAAAAGTAATCCAGAAAAAAATCATGTGTGCGGCCCTCGGAATATGATGGCATATGTTGAATATTATTATGATTCAAGTGATTATATTTGATCCTGGAATGAAAGTAAGCTCAGAAACAAGTAGATTTTTAGCCCTTCCAACGAGATGGATAGCTCTTGGAAAGGATAGATACTTTTCAGATTACAGCCTTTCCAAGAATTGCGTGGCATCCATTTCGTTTGGTGATTAGGACACATAGCGGTTAATAAACCTGGAACTTCAACTCGAACTATTCAGAGATTTATTAACTCGCTTTTGATGATACCTGCTGTTTTATGATGCGATTTTTTTGTTACCTAGGGAGGAGTTGGCCTAGTCGCGCCTTCCACTAATTCGTACCACCCTGATTCCGGCGTTACTGGTAAGAATCAGGAGACCGGCGCAACCGGCATATAATGGGGCCCTTCGAGGGCAGTGTTTAATCTACTGAAATACTGAAACACTGAAATTTACTGAAAACAAAAATTAAAATATAATATGGTCAATGATGGAGGTAGACTGATTGCGTCTTTTAAAACATTCAAAACATAATAGGCATCAACAAAATTTTGGAGAAAAAAAAATTGGAATTTTTTTTTTGGGGGGGGGGGCTATTTGTAAAACGAACATCGTAATGACCTTGACCTTCCTTCATCGGCGCTCACTTGGTCCAAAACCGCACACAGAGAGCCAGGCTCCGGGTTACCTATTTAGGGTGTTTTCCGGTATTTAGGATGTTTTCCGGTATTTAGTGTTTTTCCAGTGTTTTCCGGTATTCAGTATAAAATGGTGTTTTCCGCTGTTTTCCTGTGTTTTCCGCTGTTTTCCGGTATATAGTATGGCCCCTTTAGTTCAAATGAGACTGGTTAATTCAGGGTGAAAGACCTCTATCCTACTCCTGTGCTATACAAACTTTCAGATTCCATGCCATGTTACTAAATAACCATGTCTATGCAGTTCTAAATGTATGCGTATGCGACATCTATTATGCATCCTTACTATAGAAAAAAAATATTCTGGATTTTGCGAAAATGCAATTTTCCTAGAAAGGAAGTCAGATGTTAGTGCTAACTTTTCTACAGATATAACTGACTTCTCTCCCTTTTATCGATACATGTATTTATGGATTGTTTTTGTACTAAATTCCCAGAACCCACTGGTTTTTGGTAGCTGTAAATATTTTGTTTTTATTGGAGTTTTACAGATTGTCAGTGTGAAACACCATTGTTTAGTTATTATTTTTTTTCCATTTTATATATACTCAAGGATCAACTGGTCAGATTTGTCCACACTCATTGATTTTATCGGGGAAACTGGGTCTGACTGAAGTTCCATCTGCATCTCATCATTTTAAGTGGAATTATCCGTCACACCTTTTGGGACTAATTAAACTAGGAGGATAGCCATTTTCACACCTTTTTGGACACAATAACTCTGCTTCTAATTAAAGTAGAATGTGCTTCTTAGTGAGGTATAGTATTTATTATTAGGATGTTTTGACTGGATTCGATAATGAGCATTTTCTACTTACTGTGTAGGCTAAGCAGAGATAAGCATTTTGATTGGCTGAGACTTGCTTTTAATTGAGGAAGGTGATGAAACTATACCAAGTTTGATAATGAACATTTTCTGCTTAGATCATACAGAATGATAAACAATTTGATTTCTTATTGCTTCATAAAAAGATACTTGTGCAAGTAATTAATGAGTTTCATCAATATATTTTGCGATTGGTATGGTTTGTCTTCATCAGAAGAAACGTTATTTTGACATAAAATACAGTTTTTACAAATTTTGCTTTCGATTTTTTGTCATTTTGATAGATATATAAAGCAATTATGAAACAATAGTGTCAACAAATTTCTTTTCTGATCTCTCTGATTTTAAGAGTATTAAATTTAAAAATTTAACTGATATTTCTGGATTTGTGTTGTTAGGGAAAGATATATGCTTATGGTTAAAGGACATTGGTGAAACCCCATAGCTATGTCACAGGTCTAGTTTGTTGATCTATTTATCTATTCATCCACCCTATGATCCCTTTATTTATTGGTGCATGTTCCTGGCAGATTATTTAAAGTACATGTATCCTCCCCTACCACTGATATTATGCTGGTGAAAGTATAAATGGTAAAGTCTTAGTTATTACATGTACTTACCTGGGTTTACAAAACATACTAAATTACCTTGGTACCTCCAAAATTGGAAGGAAATTGTAAATTAGTTTATGTTCACTTTTGGTTTGGTACAATAGGGGACTCTTAGTTAAAAATTGACAAAAATGTCTCAGGGGACCCACAAGTCAATTTCCACGCCATAAAACTAGCATATTTTTCAAAACCCAATTTTCAAACATAGCAATGATCAACCCCTGCCATGTAACTATAAATTTTAAAACTAGAGATAAAACTTTTGTACAGAACTTGCAATAAAATATATTACATGTACATTTAACAAATATTTACATTTTCAAAAATAGGGTAACAGTTATAAACCCTCCATACAAATTAATTAACTTGAGACAACAGTGGACCCCACAAATTGTTTACAAATTAAAGTTTTTATGGATGCACGAAGGACAATCCTGCTAATGGATGTTGAATTTAAATGGAATTTCAAATGTTTGGTTCTGTTCAAATATGACATGATTTATTTTATGTTAATCTTCATTAATATATGCTGCCCATGGAAAGAGTTTTCTGGATGTCTTGTTAAAGTATATTATAAATTACTCCTATATTCTCATTGCAATTAGATTAACAACCGAAAAAATATCTTCCTGGCAAGAACTGTATCAAGAAACATATATAGTTTTCTCAATATGCAACATAAATCAGTGGTTTGACATCAGAATATTATCTTTAAAAGTGTAACTAAGCCAAAAATTGTAACTATATTATTCAAACTTTTAGATATTTTGCCAATTTTAGCACAGTTGTTGGTAAGCTAAAATGATTTCATTTTCTAGCTGGTAACAAACATTGTATTCCAGCACTCAATGAGAAATCAGTTGATTATTTTCAGTCGTGGATAACCATGATTAAACAATTTCAGGGGAGAAGAAATCAATGTTTAAGGTTTATGGATATCACAAAACTATTGATAAAGAGATTGGGATATTACATTTGAAATCGCGATCAATCATTCCGATCCAAAAACAACTTCAATATCCGCGCGTTTAAGTGGTTTGTATTTCAAATGCACAAACAGAGATAGGGAAAAAATCAATGGGTGTCCAAACTGATCGCATGGAAAATTAAGCTGCATTCATTATGTAAGATAATCTTTTCTTGATACCTCATAGATTGATTTTCTGTCAAACCATTTTCTTATAAATGGCTTGGGTTAAGAATGCAATAAGGTGAAATGGGCAATTACTCTTATGACAAATACTGGCCATTCATATGAAGACTATTGTTTGGTGAATGTTGTGTTTTCTCAGCTGACAGAGATAAAGTAATCATATTATTAATATTGAATTGTTGTCATTAATAAAAAAAATGACCATAATATTTACTGTAAAAATCTAAAATTTTTGCTCCAAAAGACTAAAAAATGTTATTGGCCCATATGAAGAGTGGTCATATATTGTAACCACCATTCACCTTTTGAACTTATTCTAATTATTTTACAGGGCAGAGTTTTTAATGAATTTTTTTTTTCAAACTTGTTGGTCTTCTTTAACATAAACCCTATTGAAATTCAGAGATACCCATCAATTCTTTTGAGGGTTATTTCCCTTGTCACTGGAACCTTGTAATCAACCTCTTGATTTTTGAGAGATTTCTTTTTTTTTTAAAAAAGGTTTTAGAGTTTTATTTTTCAAAATTTCACAACATTATAATTGTGAAACGGTTGATAGATATCGCTTAGCCCTAGCTGATAGCGGGCACAATAACTTTTTATCTGTAAAGTTAATTTTCCAAAATTCACACTTTAAGATTTGCTCATGGTTATTGAACATGTTCACTTTTAACAAGTTTAAATTTGCTAGCTATAAAGAGAACTCAACAATGACATTTTGTAACGGATTGTATATTCTGAATTGGTTTTAGGATATATCTAGAATTTAATAGTCTACAGAATCTGAAATATTCAATATCAGGCTTTTGAATTAGGTAAAGTTAGCATGTCTGTGAGAACACATGTGAAATGATAGGCATACACTGTCTGTTAAAAGTTGGGAAAATATTGTGCTTGCTAGATTATGCATGTCTAGTTTGAATTTCCATGAATGCCTTGCTTGAGTTCCCCTTTCACCATTTCCTGGTTGAAATGAGCAACAGACAAATGCTTTTATCTAATAATAGCTTTAATTTTACCATGTTTTATCCCTATATGTTTATCCATTGGTTTTGACTAAGAAGAGAATTAAGAAAATTTGATTTCAGGGAACATCTCCGATTTTTATTTCACTTGCTTCATAAAATTGTTCCAAAAGATATTTTTGATCTTAGTTTATAAATCAGATTTACCATGGTAGGATGTAATAAAATCTTCAGTCGTGCGTCCCTTAGACACTGATTGAAGTTAGATTTAGCGAGAAGATTTTATAATAAGATTGTTTAATGAAACAATTTTCCTAACATATATTTAGCTACATGTAGATTAAATATGACGTTGTGATCAAATGCTCGTAAGATATTGAGTGATTGATATTTAATTGTTGAAGGAGTGATTTATTTTTCAGGGTGACTTAATATCATAATGTTTACAGCAGACGACCGTTATTCTACATTTCTTATATTAACTTGTCGTCTGCTGTCTGTTTTTACTGCAGCCTTTTTCTTGGTCTATGTGAACATCATTTAATAATTCTTCCTTTCGGATACTTCATATATTTAAACAAAATGGTTGGTGTTTTTCTGAAAATGTTTCGAACTTTAATATCTTACATTCCACGATGGATACATTCGGATATTCCAGGTCCCACAGGAAACCACATCAGGTCCAACTTTGTGAACACTGCCTCCAGTGATTCGGAACTGGCCAAACATCGAGCCAAACAGTTTACGGACAGCATAAGCAATATTGCTAGTGACAGCATCAAGAAAACACCAGACAAAGATGGAGTACTTCCAACTGCCAAAGGTCTTCTCTTACCCAACATGCAAAATATGAAACAGAATGTGTCTGAGAAAGTAGCGCAAGTAAGTCAAGCTGTAAGTGTCGTTGTTTCTAACTATCGCATGTTTTTTACTTTATATACATGTCAAGTTTTATATATTTTCCACCTAAAATTTATAACATCATTCTGATAGCTTAGAAAGCAGTGAACTGGTGAAAGGTTGAACTTAATTTGTCCTTTAAAATTTAAGTGCCAATACCTCAAATGAGAAATTATAGACTTTAGGAAATAAATTTTGCATATTGGAACAAAATTTTCACAATTAAATTTATAAAAGAACCAAATTTTAAAGATGTACTGTTGCGGTACTTTCTATTTGTACTATCTAACACAACTTTCCCATGATTCTTTCAGCATAATAAATTTCCATTTTTGCTGAATTGTTGTCTAGAATGATGTTCTTCTCGAAATTTTAAACTATTTTTTATCACGTTTTTTTATTTTTTAATTCATTCCCACTTTTAACTTTTTTTTTGAATTTTTGAGGGAATATTTTTACAGAGTAGCTTATTTTAACTCCATTAATTTAGTTGAAAACACATATAGATCTATTGTAAAATAAAGGTTTTGTAGTGATAATATTGAACCATATAAAGGTAAGTCTATAATTTATACACACTGACTAAACTTGACATGAATATATATAATTACGAGATTTGAATGATATTAGAGAAAGGTTGGTTTTAGTAATTCTTTGAACAATATAGTTGACTTAAAGATTGTCAGAAGAAAAAGTAGTGTGATCTTTAATAATATGAATAAAATGAGAATGTGATATTATGGTCTTTTTAAATACAAAACAAATATATAAAAAATTCATGCTTAAGAAAAGAAGAAATGGGTTAATTTTTTTTTTAAACCTATATCCAATCAGAAGACTAAAAATTCTGTTGTGTTGGAAGTGATCTTAATTAGATTGACTGAAAAATGGTTGATTGAAAGCTGAAATTAACCATTGTTTAGCTCAATGATTATTTGTAAGAGCCGAAATATCAATCAAATCGTTCGTACCAAACTATCTGTAAGCCTAGAATCTAGATTTCTTGTTAATGTGGTAGATGTAGACATTAGTAGCTTGCTTAGACTTAAATGTTTGTTACAATAGTTTAGTCGGTTGTCTGTTTATATGTTATGCTTTAATATGTTCTGTGTTAAGTTTGTAGTTAGATAAAGCAATCCCAAGTTATTGAATTCTTGATTAATTTATCATCAAACAATGTTTTCAATCTGAAACAATCCCTATTTTGCATGTAATCTGAATTTAACCATATTCAACAATATCATAACCAACGTCTGCCAGTTAGGTGGAAATTGGTTTATGAGTGTGGGACTTTATTAATTGAACATATTTAGTTAAGTCTGAAAATTTGAGAAGAAGTGAAATAGAAATATACGGTAAGCGTGGTTGAATAGGAATACAAATGATGATCAAAAAAAGATGGCTGCTATAAGTTTATAACATACTTCTGATATATTCATAGAATCATAAACAATATCTGTAGTACTTAAAGCATGAAGAACTGAAAAGGTCTTCTTTATATAAGATCGTGGAACTGGAACAGCAATCACTATGCCTACAATAGTTTATGCACATGAATGCTTCTAATATGATATGCTGGAAGATTCCACTTTACACACACATACACACGCACAAACAAACGGGAGTTAACAGACAATAGTAATTTAAGCTATCAGAGAATTATGACTGTATCCATACAGATTTCGAACAAGATAAATAAGTATCATTGCTGTCTGTCTGTCTTTCCATTTGTCCGATGCCCACAAAATCTTGTAAGCAATCTTCATACTACATTTATCATCAGATCCAAATGAAGCTGGTACCAACAATAACCTCCAATAAAATCTGTTGATTTGTCTCGTTTTTATCTGATTGAATCGAAGTTGGGAGATTAACCATAGTTTGATATTCTGATTTTCCTAATTAAATGTTAAATAATCAATTCGAGTATATATGAGTTTACATTTCTGAAGTATGCAAGTAAAGCACAGACACTAAGATATGGCGGGGGGTTGGATGGCCGAATGGTTAGCACGCGCGCGCTGTATCATACGGTCTGTCATTGAGTCAACTGGCGGGGTTTCGATTCCCCGGTGGTACGTGACAAGGAGTAGGGTCGCCTGTCCAACCTCGTGGGTTTTCTCCAGGCCCTCCGGTTTCCTCCCACTGCTAAAGACCCCTAGGGGCAAGCAAATTATAAAAATAAAATTGAACCATATGTTAGTTCCGGAATGACCTAGTTTGTGTCGAGTGGACGTTAAACCCCATTTCTCTCTCTCTCTCTCTCTCACATTTCTGAAGTACTTATGCAAGTGAAGCACAGCACTAAGTGATGGCTCTTGTTCACTTTGTATTCTGAACACTTTGATGACAAGTCAGATGCTCTACTTGAAATTCATACCAGTGTTTAAATTAATGTAAAGAATAAACAAATTGAATTTCAACAAATTTACATTAATTAATTTTAGAGTTAAAGTCTTTGCACCAACACGCTGGCAACAAAACTTATCGATCGATCTGCATGAAACTCATATGCATTGTTTAAATTACATGAAACGAAAAAGCTTATGGAATTTTTACAGCTTTATTTCCCCTGATTATGTTAATGTGCCAATAAAATTATACAGTATAAATATTTTGTTTCTTATTTAACTAAAGAATCATAATTTGACCTTGGTGCAGTGGCGGCGCCAGCCGTCGGTGGTTGGAGGGGCAAAGTCCAAGGTTAAGGGGGCAAAGGCAGTATTTCAGGCACTGATCGTTGAGTTAAAGTGTCAAACGAATGGACTTGAGACGAAGCCCACTCATAAGTGTCAAAGTATGGAGTCCTTACGGAGGGTATGGGGGACCTCCCCCAGAAAATATCGAAAAATAGACTGCCGGAAATGCTGTCTGACAGTATTCAGTCAGGCACCGACCGTCAAGATAAATAGATCTGACCAGATACCGACCGTCGCCTGATTACTAGTTTATCAGACCAGAGAACAAAATGTCAAATGAACGAACGTTAACAAATTCCCCTTATGAGCGCCAGAGTAGCGAGTCCTTGTGGGGGTATTGGGAACCTCCCCAAGAAAATTTTGAAAAATTGACGGTCGGAAATGCTCTACAACATGCAAGTCTATATATCTGAGTGGGGATGTGGGATTTATTCACCATAGAAGGTATTGATTACCGAAACGTACCGCAAATACTTTTTTTTATTTTATAAAATTACTGGGGGGGGGGGGGGCAAACAGAGGGCAGACCGGATTTATGGGGGGGGGGGCATTTAGCCCCCCTTGGCGCTGCCACTACCTTGGTGGTCTGCTCAGATGACATAGCAACTGTGGGCGTATGTTTCATTGCCTGGCAAACCATGTTCATTTATTTTATTAACACCAGATTTACCAAAAATATTTACAAAGAAGTTTCAATGCTAGAAAATATGACTGAAATAAGAGCCTTGGTCTATTGCATAATGACTTGGTTATATTATTTTTATTGTTCATAAATTAATGAGAAATTATCAAATGCAGGATATGGATACCTGTTGAAATTCCACTAATACATGCATGTGATTTCAAGATTTTCACAACTGTTAAGTGTGAAAAGTGCCACAAAGTATTAGAGGATGAATGTTTGTCTTGCAATAAACTGGGGATTTGATTTGGGAGAGAGAGGGTTGTCGAATTGACAAGTATTGAACCATGACATTTATCTTTCAACAAACTGGGGTCTTGGATATAATATAAATCATTCGGTTAAAATCTGAGTTACCAAAATATTTTTGAGGTTCAAAAATTATAAATGTGATCATTGGAGACTTCTGAGAAATTTTGTGATTAGTTCAAAAGCCAAAAAGTAGCCCTTCTTTAAATGTTTTTGCGATTTCTTTTTTTTTATGTGTATGTAAGTAAGTATATAATCAATGTCTGTTGGCATATTTCCATATTAACTAGGTTAGTAGATATGTATATAATCTCTTTTTGATCTCTGTATTAAATATCAAAGTTACCACCATGGAACAAATTAAATCTGAACATGATTTCAATTGGAAAATAATCTCTTAGCTGATTATTGGTTTTAGTTATCAATTAATTTAATGTTTTGAAATGTAATTAATTGGATTTCTATCAGCAAGACAAGATACAAATAAACACGCTTCCTATTGAATCATCCTTTTGGATTTCGTTAAAAAGATGAAAAGATAAAGCATACATACGTTGATTTGTATCGATGGATTAGTCCGTGTTGTTTGATGTATGTTAAAATATATAAATTAGCTTGAAATGTCAAAATAGTTTTAAAGATTTCATTTGTATTTACCTTACAAGTAGGTACTTAAGTTAATAAATTCGACATCGAGAGAAACAAAGTGTGTACTCGTAAACTTTTGATCTTTCAGAAAAATCTTGACCTTCTAATATCTATAATATAATATTCAACCTTCTAGATTTGATCTATGCTTTACATTTTGTTATGTTATTTTCAAAGGTTACTTATATGATAAAATGAAGAAGTTCACTGTGTGATAAGAGTTATTCTATAGGTCTCTCACAGCAGTGCTATCTGTAACTCAGATCTTATATAGGTAATTTTACCTATAGTGATCATGAATCATCTCAGCTATACTTGAACATACTGAGAAGAATTATCCATTAGTACACCTTTATACAACTTTTATGTATCATTTATCTTGAATGTCAAGATACGGCTAAACTGTCTAGTGATGCTACTTAACCCTTTCACTGCGTATACCCGGTAGTACCAGGTATTATAAAATGTCGGTAGAATGCGCATACCCGGTATTACCGTGTACTCAGTAAAGCCCTCGCTAAAATTAGTACCGTAACTGCAAGTGCCATCTATTGTATTTTCTATACACTCGAACATATTTCCACGTGTTTCAAAGCGGCAAACCGTAAAATGCCGGAGTGCATAGTGACAACGTAGACGATGCACTCTCGACGAAGTCGTGAATGACGTCTTGCTGACCAACACGTGGACAATTTCGAGGCGGG